GTGGGGGGGTCAGGTTTGATATAGGATCATATTAATCATTTAATTACACTTCAAATTGGTTAGCAACATGAATATTCTGTATCCTTTGGAGGATTTATCAATCTAATGCTACCCTCATCCTTTATTTGGACTTGGAACTGGCTATGCTTTGCAAAGCTCTCATGGGCGGAGGTAGGAAGGTAACTTAAGGTGAACTGGGTAATTCGTAAATTGATATTGATGTCCATTGATGTTTTTAGTTTACCATGACAGATATCTGCATATATTATACATCTTTTGTAATAGAAATCGGTGTAGAGTTGCTCTTCCTAGTTGCCTGTAAATTTGCCTTATGTATGCTAAATAAAAAGGGCCTACACTATGCATTCATTCACTTCCAGTTTGAAACTGGAAACAGCTATAGGTTGGTTTTATCATTTATCTGTGTCCTTAGTTGATTTTGTATAATGATCTGAATTTCCTTGTCTATAATTTTTCTTCCTTATCCAATAGCCATTTTAATATGTGTTCTAAAGCAGATATAGTATGTGACATCAATGCTTTAGTGTATTTATGATTCTGCAGAGTTGTTTCTAACTTCATCAATTTGCAGGTGCAATTAATCCGGATTCAAATGAGAGTTCCCGAGTATGGATGGACCACTCAGAAAGTCTTCCATTTCCTCAATTTCTTGGTGAATGGGGGTTGGTATCTTCTTTTGTGATTATTTATGTTGGAAACATCCTCATGGAAATATTATGAGGTGTTTTTCAAATTATAGTCTGGTTATACTAGGGGAAAAATGAACATTTTTCCTTTACATTTCACTTTGCTTTGATCTGTTAGGTTTATATTGTATTGAAGTTGTGTTTTTCTCCTTTGGTAGTTCGCTCTCTAGTTTTTGTATTTCGTCGGGATGTTCAGAAGTTGAACCCTGAGGTTAGCCACTGACATTGGTTACACGTCTTGTTGCCATTTTTATCTTGGGCTCTTTCATCTTGTAACCGTACATGTAATGTTTTGGTAGATTATCCAACACATCTTGCTTGATATGCCAAGTCTTGCATTCTTCACAACTTTTGCGCTTCTAGTATTATTCTGGGCTGAGATATACTATCAGGTTTGCGTGTGCTCTCAACTGAATGTTTTGCAGTTTGTGTCAATTCTCAAGCTTAATATATCTGCTTTTCCTGTTGTAGGCACGTGCTGTATCTACTGATGCTCTTAGGCCTAGTTTCTTCACAATTAATGGAGTGGTTTATGCTATTCAGGTAAATATTTAGTCCTCGTGCTACACTTTCTTCTGAAAAACTTTGGTGCTTTTGAGTTAAATTAACTCTTTAAATAATGAAATAGTTTAAACCAAAAATTATTTTGCCAGATTGAATTTGACAAGACTAGTCTTACAAACAATAATTGTCGTTTCATGTTCTCAATATTTCTCAAGTTCAACAGAGGTCTTTTTTTTGACTTTTTGGTTGTGTTTATTTGTTACTTTAGTTTGCGTTATTTATTCTTAACTAAACATCGGCTTAATTTAAAATTCCAAAGAGGAAAAGAGAGGAGTGAATGACTACTGAAAACTACTAGTTCCTTTTTTCCTTCTTTTGGGGGGGGGGGAGTATCCCAGTTGTTGCAGCCATGCAAGTAGTTTACGACATTGGAACTTATATGTTTTATATATTTGCCGTCTGAATCTCTTGAAGCCTATTGAAAGGAGAGACAGCGTTGTATTTCAGCAAGCATAGTTGAGACGAAGACAGTTGAAGTGAAATCACACTCCAAATTAAATACCCCTGTTGTTAAACTTCAAATTCAAGAATCTTATTGAGGATTAATCTTAAGGCAAGTATAAAGAATGAAAGATGATTCTATCTAAAAGGACCGTATGCTGTCTGCGTTTGATAGATTCTCTCCATCTAGAACATGTGTGATTCACCATTTTCTTCTTTTTTTTGGGATGAAGCATCACATTTTATTTATAAAAAGCAATAAATGTCCCTACAGAGAAGTATACCAAAATGTAGGAAAACCATACCAAACAAAGTTGATTTTCTACTAACAACACACACTCTTCTATGCTTGTAGGATCTCATTAAAAAAACTAAGGGATAAGAGACTATTCTCTATACCATCAAAACTCTCCTATTTCTTCCTTTCCATATGGTCCACATAAGTGCAATTCGTTGAATTATTTTATTAGCTGCTCACAGGTGGTCAAATTAGTGTGGACCGGGGTGATTAGTTCTGGTCTTGAATCAAGCAATAAATGGGCTGTAAAAGATGATGAGTTGGTGGAATTTGGCCTTTGGCAAAGATCATTTTAGCTATTATCAATCATAAATCATTAAATAGGTTCTGAATCTTATTAGTTATATAACCAGCATTCAGCTTGGCTTGAACTACTATCCACCCAGTACAAGCTCAACAAGTCTATTCATGTTGCTCTTGGATAGGTCACACATGTCCGACCCTTAACCCACCCATCAACCCCCAAATGTACACATCCAAAGTAAAAAGAATGAAGCACTAGTACTAGCTATACTTCAATTTCACCAGTATGATACGGAACTTCACATTTAAATTACATGAATAGGACTGGATTTCTAAGTTTGAAGATGTCTTATCAAGAAGGGATACTGTGTTTGGTGAATGCTAATTGCCAGAGTCAGACATTACACAAGCTTATGTCCTGTTATAGGACTTTCACATGAAACAACAACTATGCCCCGATTCCGAACAAGTTGAAGTCGGCTTTATGAATCCTCACTAATCATGTTTATCCACTTAAGCTCAATACTATATACATTAATCTTCTAACACTCTCCTTAAGCTTATGCATGTAAGTCATATGTACCAATACGAGCTTATTACTCATGTAACTAAGTATGAGGACTAGTGAGGGACTTGATGAAAATATCCGCAAGCTAATCATTTGACTTCACTAATTTTTGTAATAATAACATTGTCAAACATATTTGTAATAATATCTCTTGAGAGTATTTTTTTTCTTTTGATGAAGTAAGTGATGTACTAATAGCAAAAGCATCCAGTAGATGCAGGAATTACCAAATAAAAGAACATATCAACTCCTTAGAAGAAACCAAAAAATCTATTATTAAGACAATAGAGCTGATAAATTTGAAAGGTTCAGCCAACAAAAAAGGAAGGACAAATATCTAACCTTGAGTAGAGATGTGAAAGTTGAGATGCCATCAGAACATCTTTGATTCCTTTTTGACCAGAAGCACCACAAAATAGCAGCAGGAACCATAGACCGGATTTTCTTGATGGACTTCTCAACTTTCCAGGAGCTCCAACTCACAAAAGCTTACCGGCACTGCATGACATTGTTCACTGCAGTCCAAAAAGTGATAGAAACGTAGACCACGTGTCTGTTGCAGCAGGACTATGAAAAAAAGAAGATGATTGATAGATTCCGTGTTGCTTTTGCACATATGGCATGTGTAGCAATCTGAAAACCCCTTTTGCTGAGATTGTCCTGGGTCAAACGTGCTCCATTTGGTGTTATCCAGCAAAAAACACTATTCTTTGGAGGTATTCTAGTCTTCCTTATAAGTTTGTAGGGCCACTAGCCGATCATTTCCTTGTTGGAGCTCAAAGGTTGCATAACTAGCTCTAATTGAGTATTAGCCACTCTTATTGCTGCCCAATAAATCTGTCCCTATTTTGAGTAATGGTTGAGTTATTTCGAAGGGTGCCAAGAAGTGCTACCAGCTTATCAAACTCCTAATCATTTAAATTCCTTCTTGAACTTGGACTTCACGAGTTAGAGCCCGTTTGGATTGGCTTAAAAAAAGTAGCTTTTAAGTCAAAAAAATAAAAAGTCAAACTTAAATGATTTTTTAAGTCAAAAAATAAAAAGTAGGGGGAGACCTACTTTTGATTTTTAACTTTTTTAAAGTCATTTTTAAGTTATTTTTAATCTTGCCAAACACTTTTAAAAGTTAAAAATGACTTACAGGTAGGGTTGACCAACTTTTAAGTCAATCCAAACAGGCTCTTAGTTGATCCAAATTAGCTCACAAGTTGCTACAGCCATGGCTTGATATTCTACTTCTGCATTAGATCGAGTAACCACGTTATGTTTCTTAGTGGGAAGGACACAAATTACCTCCTACTAAAATACGATATCCAGATGTAGAAAGCTATCAGAAAGTGATCCTGCCTAATCAATGTCTATATATCCAACGATCTACTCATTGCCTCGATCCTCTTAGATTAATAAGGGAGAATTCTTAAAATGACTTACAACACTCACAAGAAAAGAGATGTTAAGTATAGTCACTGTGAGATAATTCAACTTACCAACTAATTGTCTATATCTTCCAGGATCACTGTGTAGTTATCCCATCCTGCATTCGAGCGACCTCAATACCTAGAAAATACTTCAGTGAGATGGTGCATGAATTTAGGGATACCATCCTGATTATTGCAGTGATAACAATATCTTCTTTTTGGATGACTGTGGTGTCCGGGCAAGCTTTCGCGCACCTCGCCTAATTCCACGAGTAGGTATCTACCTTCCACCAGCAATAGGTATGAAGTAACTTGTCCACCAAGGCTAGGACAGATGATATCTAGTGTTTTTTTGGCTCCACTGTGTTTTGAATGTAAGACCTCAGGGTTCTCAGCCACTCCATTGACCACTAGGCCACACCGATGAAGCATAAATACACAGATTTGAAGCAGAATGACGGTAAAACACAAAATGATCAGCTTCATTAGGAGTCGTGCTGAACCCCTGAATTATTGTGTTGAACTTTCAAACCAGGCTCGAGGAGATACTTCAAATCATAGAGGGACTGGTTCAATCCGCATACAAGGTTACTAGGCTCCCCCTAAGCAACAAAAATATTAAACCCAAATCACAAATTGGATTGAAGAAAGGTCTACACCAGTTTTTAACAGTGAAAATTCAGCCAAACAATGACTGAAAATTGCAAAGTGGATCTGGAAGGGTTGCACACTCTTCAAATGCATGAGAGTTTGAAAGAGTCAAAACTCTGCTGAAACAGTGGAGAAGGCTGAGAAAAAAAATCAACTGTAATGCCGAAAAACATTGTTTCAGTGATGGAAGATAACCAAATATCTATCGGTCTAGTCGGAATCAGAAGGGGAGCTCCATAAACTAAGAATCAGCTTTGGAAGCCGTCCGAACACGCACTCGACGTGTGGCCTGATGCTGGAGCATCCACTCTTACGTGCACATGAGAGCACGTGGAGGGGAGACTGTCGGAGGGTGGGGAACTCCGTGGTGATGTTGGTTTTCGCACAACACTGTCGGACACACATTTCATGCAAAACATCCCTAGAAAGTCGTTAAATTTGGTTCACAATGATTGTCTGACTGTGGTTTCTTTCCTGAATGTTTCTCACCAAAGCTCTAATACTATGCGAGAACTAAAGACACGGAAATTATGATTAAGATGCGTATCTACATTATTATACTGAGCCCTTTGTTTTGGTTTTATTTTGATAGTTTATAATAACCCTTTTCTCATGTGGGACACTATAATTTGATATTCTAACAATAATGATACTGATATTATTTAAAAAATTCTAGGTTTTTCCTCGGATATAAATCTATGATTAGTTGAAGTATTCCTGGAAAAGCAATAGGTTCAAAATCAACGCACTAGCAAGACAACGTATTCCTAACTAGAAGATATCAACTATATGAATCTTCTTCTTTCATTTTGTCCTGAATTGTAGGTCTTTACAACTTCCTTCTATGTAGTTTTAGGTTTACCTCGTCCCCTTGCCTTCATTCACCATAGTTTCACACCTATGGATCGGTGAATTTGTAGGTCAATGCAGAACATGAGCAAATCATCTCAAGCGATCTTCTCTCATTTTTATCTTCGATTATGTGCACCTTCGGGTGAATGTGCTTGTTTTTAATTTTATTTATTCTTGTAGGACCGCACTTCCATTCTAGTATTCGCATCTCTACAACACTCATCTTTTGATATGTGGGACTTTAGCGGTCCAACATTTACTACCATATAATGTAGCCGGTCTAACTCGTAGATAAAACAGTATATGAGAAAATGATAATTCTTTTCATGGTTATAGATGCTTTGTGGATGTTCATTGCTTGATTTTTTCTTTCTTATTGAATTGTTCAGATCATATTATGGCTGATAATATGGTGGAAGCCTGTTCCAGCACTTGTCATCTTATCTAAGGCGTTCTTTGCAGGTCTGTGTCTTATGGTTAACTTATTTTAAATATATTTTCTATTGCATGGATATGTTGCAACTGCACCGACACATTTTCTTTTGTACTTGCATTATTTTGCAGGTGTATCTCTATTTGCAGCCTTGGGGTTTCTTCTTTATGGAGGAAGGTAAGATTTAATTTCTTTACCAGTGATTGGATCTAACCTCTGACGGTGTGTGTTGGTGTAACCACACATCTTAGAAGCACAAGAACAAGCAGCATTCATATGCCGTGCATTTATTTCTGTCCTTTGTGAGAAATTGTCTATGTTTATCGAAAAGAATATATGCCTAATGGCTATACAGAGCCTTAAACCTCTTTACGAAAGCTTCCATTTTCGTAAATGTCTGTTAGTTATGCTGTGTAATTGTTGTATGCTTTGCTCAAGATTTTCTTTTGGATAAGCAATGATCTATGTACCCAGATGCAAATCCATATATTTTAACCTTTCTGAGATTAAACCGAGTCTCTGGGACCACCTTTTTCTGAACTTAGGTATTTCCTATAGTAAGCTGCGTTCCAGGTAGTAGATATCGTTCGACCTCTGATTGCCAATGCATACGGTTTTATCATTTATCTAAAGCAGTCCATATTGCTATGCTTTACACCCTGGTGCCTTCCTGTTGTTGCCCAACATTTGACTATTTTCATTGGCACCAAACTTGTGTTCGACACATTGTGATTGATAACTTCGTTGAATCATAGGACCGTGAGCTCCTTTTTCTTAACTTGCTCATTTCTCAGCCAAAAATTATAACATCTTAGCTGCAATTCTGGGCTCTCAGCAACAAAAAAAAGCACTTGTAGGGATTCGCATCATGACGGAGCCGACAATAATCTGCCACTATGAATACATAAGACTCGCTGCATGATAGAACTCTATGTGCTGGTATACAAGGATATAGTGACATTTTAGCTGCTATAATCGTCTAAAATTTTTACTTCGCTTATTCATCTACTAGATTTGTGCTAACAAAATCTCCTGCATTGTAATTTTGAAATGTGTAGTGTGTAACCTAATTAGGTCCTGATTAATATTGATATGAGTTCACTCTTTGCATGCTAATAAGTAGGTTCTACATGTTCGTTTAGTTTGTCCCTTCACCTTTGGTTCATACACACTTGAGAAAATGGTCAAATACCCCTCCAATCTATATTCGGATTTTCAACTACACTTATACTTTACGGGGGTCCTATTACCCCCCTAAACTATTTTAAAATGGATTAAATACCCCCTTAAAACGTGATAACCAGTCATCTGCCTTGTGGTGAGGCACATGCGCTTGACACGTGTGTTTCACCAATTAAACTTTTGAAAAAAGTTTTTTCTCCTTCTTCTTCAATCTTTTTGCAGCCCTAACTTTTTTTGTGAAAACTTGATTTGGGGAAAATATTAGGGGATACATTGTGGGTCTTCTTTTCTTTTTTTTATCTTCCTCACAAGGTGAATTCGTCGGGCCTCCATCCTTTTCACCATTGTCATATGAGAAATCATTGTTACCACCTCCACCTCCATCTTTATCACCTCCCTAATTTACATCGAAATCCAACACCTTAGCACATCTTTATCATCTTCATTTATAATATCTCCAAGTTGTTCATGATTTCCAACCCCATTAGTTTCATC